TTTCTTAAAGGAGCCATGCCTCTGCTTGCTTTAGCAAATAGAGCCCACCCAAGAAAATGCTGCTACCTAACCGTGCTTAACTCTGTTCTTTGTGTCTAGGACTACTTTTTAAGCTTTCTTAGGTTTTTATGTGGATGTAGTTACCCACCTTGGTATGCCAATCTGTAGTAAGAAGGTTCCTTGTTAGTTTCCAGCTGCCCAGCTAGCTTAGACCCTAAATAATTGCACAGAAACTTTATTAAGTAAACCATTGCTTGGCCCATTTGCTCTAGCTTCTTATTGGCTAGCTCTTATATTAATTTAACCCATTTCTATTAATCAGTATATTGCCACATGGCTATGGATTACTGGGTAAAGTTCCCAATGTCTGTCTCCAGCGGCTCCATGGCTTCTCTCTGACTCCGCCCTTCTTCCTCTCAGCATTCAGTCCACTCTGCCTTGCCCTGCTATAGGTTCAAAGCAGTTTCTTTATTCATTAATAGTAATCACAACATACAGAGGGAAATCCCATATCACCTCCCCTTTTCTGTTTAAATAAAAAGAAAGGTTTTAACATTAGCATAGTAAAATTACATAAAACAGCTATCAAGCAAGAATTACAGTTATAATATTTATATCTACTTTATCTTTTATCATAACTAAGGAAACCTATAATAATAACTATCTAGTCTTCAACTCCATCAAAGACTCCAGAAGGATATAAAATATTACCTAATTAAGCAGGAAGTGCATTATAAGCAACTTTCAAAACTCGAGAACTGACAGAGACATCTTACTGCCTGGACAGTCACCCAAAGTTCTTCTGTACCATTGGGGCATCCATCTTCAGCTTATTGGCCCATAGTATCCAGCAGAATTTTTCATGAAGAAGGAAATTTCATTCACTTTCTTCTGTATCCTGCCAAATGTCTAGCAGACTCTTTGATGAAGCAGGAGCCCTGAAGATAGTCTTACTTTTAAACAAGTTCAGCAGTCATTTCTCTGTGGGTCCTGCATATCCAATTCATCAGGCAGTCCAGGCAAGAACAGTTTCTTGACCAAATGGCTAACCAACTCCATAAGGAGCCTCTTCAATGACCATCTTCCTCTTGAAGCTATTGGTGATGCCAGGAGCTGATGTGTCTCATTCTCATGAAAAGTTGCAAGTTCTTAAAACATTTTAAATGCTGTATTCTGTAGTCTTTGAAAGGTTTGAAGAATGCCTATCGATCTGAAATATATCTCTGTACATCTAGAAAATCTAACTAACATGATTACAAGCTTGACTATTAAAGATGACTATCTATTAACCTGTATTTCTTAATTATACATTACATTTTTAAATGAGCTACACAATCACAATACCTTAATCAAAAGCAGAAATATACATATAACAAGACTGATCTTAAATTTGTATCAACAAACCAAGATTCATGCCAATGCAAATCTCTATAGCATATCCCCCTTTAAATGTAATCAAACATTTATAGACAATATTTGGTAATATGGGCATATTTTTGTCCTTTCTTCCTACTGTTTGTTGGGCAAAATAATTTTTGAGGGGTGTTCAAGGAGAACTTTCAGGGGGTCTTGGGCCATCAAATCATATTACTCTGGAATAATTCCACAGGTTCTTATTCTCTGTGGAAACAAAAGAAGAACCTCTTTTCCAAAGCAACATATCTTTAGACCCAAATTCTGAAGTCAAGATACCTTTATAATATACATGCTAGTTTAGCTTAGCAGCCCATACAATGAAATGTCTCTCTGTACTAAGCTCTTTCACAGTCAAAAAATTAAAAGAAAACAAATAATATACATAATCCAGACTCTCTGTGAATTTCCTATCTTTGTGTGGCTTATTTTTCTTTACTTCTTTTAATCTATGATTGTCTGTACTGTCTCTTTAAAGGCTTTATCCTTTTTTAACCATTTAGTTCTTTTTATTATTCTCTATACTCTTTTTCTTCTCTCTCCCAAGCCTATGTACATTTATCCAACACTGTGACCCATTTAGAGGTCTTTTATGTCCTAATCTATCCTAGTGTTTTTCTGTAATTCTTTACTATCCAGGAGCACTTCTTAAAATGCTAAGTGCTTCTTAAAAACTTAAACTGTGCCATTACTAGGTATATACAATACTTCCTACTTTCCCTGCCCAGCCCAGCATGGCAGAGCCGCTTGCACATCTGAGCCACACACCNTAGCTGGGCATTCTAAAGTATATTATTCACTGTATTGGACTAGTTTTGGGTCTTTGACTTTATTGTTATTTAGTGCAAAAGGAAGATTCTCTGATGAGGGTTGAGAGATCTCTATTCTGTGGGTATAATAACAAGTCATTAGGAGCAAGTTTAACACTGTGCCCATTTAGTAGAACAATAGTAGCAGTTTCTCTCTTAGGACTATGACCTGTCTAATCACAGGATCTTGGACCTGAAATTAGTGACAGGTATGAATTTCAACTTATGGAGTGGGCCTTAGTTTCATTCAGAAAGTGCTTGGTTATTCCCATGATTTTCTTGCCACCATAGGACCAGTGAGCATGTCTTGCCTGGCCAATTGTTATCATAACTCACGGTGTTCATAGTTGGGGTAGGATTGGTGATTATACTTCTCTAGTAGTGCACAGAGTACCTTCTATCGCATCTGAAATTATCCAGAAGGAGTGGGGCTTCTAGAAAATACCAGCTTGAGTTCTTTGTATTCTGTTACTCTAGTATGTGGTTCTATCAGCAATAGTGTCTGCCACCAAATTCTGGAAGGTAAACAAAAGCATTGTCAATAGCCTGTAATATCTGGGTGTCCAGAAGAATCTCAGAGGCCAACAACTCCAAATATACAAATGGAAAACATGTCAAGAAAGAAATCAGGAAAACAAATCCACTCACAATAGTCTCAAAAATATCTTGGAACAAATCTAACCAAGAAAGTGTAAATATCATACAATGAACATTTAATACACTGAAAAGAGAAACTGAAGAAGCTAGCAGGACATGGAAAGGCTTCTTATGTTCATGAATTGGTGGGATTATTATTGATAAGATAGCCATTTTACCAAAGAAACCATCTATAGATTCATTGCCCTCCATCAAAATTCCTGTCTTTACATAAATTGAAAAACAACCAATCTTCATATGAATTCCCAAAGACCCAGGATAGCCAAAACAATATTGAACAATAAAAGCCCTGTGGGAAGTATCACCCTTCCAGATTTCAAGTTAATAGTCCAGAGCTATAGTAATATGAGCAACGTGGTACTGGCATTAAAACAGATGCACTAACCAATGGAACAGAAGTGAATATGCTGAAATAAGAACATGCATTTAAAGCTATTATATTTTTGACAAAGAAGCCGACGGTATACATGGGCGAAAAGTCAGCACCTTCCTACAGATAATGCTATGCAAACTTAATACCTGCATGTAGCAAATGAAACTAGATTGCTATGTCCCACCCTACACAAAACTCAGCTACAGATGGATCAACATAAGAACGGATTAGTCCACCATTCTAAGATGAGTTTTTCTCACAGTCTCAGAGCACACAGAGTATAACCAAATTCTTCTGATTCTTCCCCCAAAATTACCCACAATGCTTGTCTCACAGTATTGTAAGCCTTCTCTAGCATTCTCTTACAAATTTTCCCATTAGGCAATTCTAAAAGTCCTTCCAACCTTTGAAGAGTAATTATTTCATTCTTCGTAACAGTTTTCCCTCGACATTATCTTCAAGCTGCTATAAGGAAACACAGGAAGCAGTTAACTGATAAAGATGATATTTATACAACCTATACATTTAGGTTCATTTCTTAGTTCCCAGTTAGTAACCAAAGAAACAAAGGTGGGAAACTTAATGGAGTAGCAACACAAAAGGACAGATTACATGTGAATCTAACATCATTGTCATCATCTGAAAAGAAAAAATCATTTTCATTTGGAAAACAAATAGCCCAGTGATTCTTCACTATCCTCATTGTTCTAGTGTCTTCCATGACAATTAATTAAAGGACATTTTGCCTTTAAAAAATATTTTTTATTCTGTGTGTGAGTACCAGCATGTATGTATGTGCACTGTGTGTATGCAGGTGCCTGTGGAGGCCAGAAGAGGGAATCAGATTCCCTGGTACAGGAGTTCAGCTCATGAGCTGTCATATGGTGCTGAGAATCAAACCCAGGTCCTCTACAAGAGCAATAAGTGCATTAGCCACTGAGCCATCTCTCCAGCTTGGGCATTTTGCTTCTTGTCATACTCTGTACACTCATGCTGTGTGTCATTTTTAAAATATGGCCCCTATCTATACCTTCCTGATATTTATGTCCTTCCAGTGTAACTTTGAAACTCTTCCCCTCAAGGTGAGGCATATGTTTGTCCTTGGAGTCCTGACTTGCCTCCGCTGATAAAGGAATTCGTGCTGGTTCCAAGTGGTGCCCCCAGAGCCTCTCATTTATTCTCATTCTCTTGGATCCTGCCACATGGCCATGAGAACTGCCTGAGTGAACTCTGCCACATGGTACCTCAATACCTGTATCTTCTCAGCCCACAGCAAGCCCTTAGCATGAGTGACTCCAGTTACACTTAGAAAGACATGACCCAAATTGTAGACAGCAAATAATTTGTTGTTTGAGGCATTGCAGTTTGAGAATGTTTATTTTAAACCAATTGCTGACACATTTACTTCCGGTTCTAATCCATTAATCATTTGTGTATTGAATCTGAAAATCCCAGAAAGCAAAACCAGGTACTCTTGTATCCAAAATGGGCAATAGAAAAAAAAATATGCATAGCTCAACCTGGTGGCATGTAGTCACCATACATGGAAGTTTTTGACCCAAAACATATGACTTGAGAGATCACTATTTAACGGGCCCCAGACCTTATTAGGCACCAGACCTTAGCACAACTGACTCATTGGAATTACCATCCAGGCTGTAAAACTAAACACATGCACACCACCACCTGCCAAAACTAAAAGAAAGGCCTAATCCATCAAAGTCCATAATTCTGGGAAAGTCTCACAATGTACTAACCTTTCTTTTTGGTTTCTATAGTTCTGCTTTTGGCCATTTTTTTCTTGCTAACTGTAGTATGTCAACCCAGGACATGGTTTTTGTGTTTAAAAGCTCACCCTGAAAAAGGTTCAAGGGCTATTCTGGAATCTTGAGCAACCAGTTTAGTCACCAGCTGACTAATAAACACTTGCTGTTGACTTAATCCCATGTTTGAACAGTCTTCTCTAGTGAATATGCCACAACATTTCTGGAGGCCCCAGCGAGATCCCAGAGACCAGACAGACCTCAAGATCCTGGGTATTAGAGGGTGCTCAATCTGGATATTCCAGGTCCCCAGGACTACCTAATTGCTGCTTAGTGCTTCAGAGTGGTCTAACACCTCCACCCAAGAAGGAAACATATTAGAAAGTTGCCAGGTCTGTCACCTCAGTAGGTAAGTCTGGTTAAGGTGCCTTCTACTTGGACACATAGGAGGGATCAGGCACAGCTACTGATCCAGTGTCCAGAATCCATGTGAGATGTCAATGGATCCTTCTGTCCAGGTGTATGACTGTGTGGTGGCCACCCCTGGTTGTCTTTACTGTGTCTCTGTATGTCTTTCTATAGGTTTCTGTCAGTTCTGTTTTCCTGTATTGACCAGTGGTTTTCTTTGGTGTGAGAAACCTCTGGCTTAAGACCTGTGCCCCATCCCATTGGGGACCAGAATCCTTTTGACTCTGCCAGATCACACAGAGAAACAAAAAAAAAAAAACAAACAAACAAAAAAAAAAAAAGAAAGGAATAAAAAGAAGGAGAAACAAATAAACTAACAAACAACAACAACAAAAACCCTTCACCTGTCCCACTCCAGGAGCAGCAGTGCTTGCTTGTTTTGTTGATTGACTCCTGCTCACATCAGGGCTGGTCCCTGTGTAAAGGTGGGGAGGGGCTGGGCCTTTCATCCAGAGCCCCTACCTCCTCTCCCCTGCTCCTCTATCTAAGCAAAAGCACACAGAGGGAGTGGGAAATTGCTCCCTGGGTGAGCATTTCCTCTGCTCTCTGCCTGCTCTAAGCAGCCCCAGGGAAGGGGAAAAGTTTCCCTAGGCTGAGCCCAAAGGAAAAGAGAACATTCTATTCCTTTCTCTTTCATAATTAACGTCTCATTTTCAGCCAGTGATGTGTAAAACCTACGATTCTCTGAAGAAAAACAAACAAACAAAAACAAATAAACAAAAAAAAACCACCTCTGGGTTATGCAGGGGGATTGCTGTTAGAGGACCAGCTTGGACAGAACAAATTTTCCTTTCTGTTCAGGGAGACTTTAAACAATTTCACTAGGTATTTTTTAGAAAGATTAAACACAGCGGCTAAAAACATTTCTTTTGCCATCCATTTGGCCCAAGATATTAGAAAAAAAAAGGTATAAAAGTTTAAAAAACTTAAAGGTAAAGCAGGTTCCAGTTGCTTGAGGTAGCTTGAAGGGTGTTTAGCAACACAGAACTGATAGGAACAAGACCTTTTGTATAAACTAAAAGCCACCATCCCCTTCTGTAATGATGAGACACGGTTAGATTTACAGATACCCAGCAAAATCTTGGTGTTTTGTCCTCTGTGAGGAGAAACTATCACCCGCACCCCCAGGACTGGCCCATGCCAAGCTCCTATAATTGTTCAACTAACTAGTTCAGCTATTTCTGTCAAATAAACAATACCCATGACCCTGGAAGCAAAAGGGGAAATTGTAGTCCATATTGCCTTGCTTGAAGAGACAGGCATCTGGTGCCCTGCCAGTCACCCTGAAATACACCTCTTCTGTCTGGGAAAGAATCTGTTACCCCTGCTTCTCATGATTCTTCCAAAGAAGCAGGTGTACACTGTCTTGGACACGAAAGATGTGTTTTTCAGCCTCCCATTGGCAGAGGTGAGTTGACCCATTTTTGCTTTTAAATGGACAGAGCCAGTGGGATGTTCTAGCGGGCAACATACTTGGACCAGGTTGCCCCCCAGGATTTAAAGACACTAAATGCAGACTTCCTTCCCTTCTGTCAGAGGCTTCAAGGAAAAACAGATTATAAAGGGGCCACAGAGGGACTTATGCAGGAGGTACAGATCTTGGGCTACAAAATGTCGGCTAAGAAAGCCCAACTTTGTAGAAGGCTACCTATCTCGGCTGCCAGCTGAAGGGAGGCAACAGCAGACTGTCTCAGAGTAGGATTGCTGCCATCCTTCAGATCCCAACTGCAAAGACTAAGAGACAGATGCAAGAGTTCCTAGGTGCAGCTGGATATTGCTGCCTCTGGATATCAGAGTTTGTAAAAACAACAGTGTCTCTATGCACCAGCAAAAAGGAGGACTTGGATCCCCTAGTCTGGACTGAGACTAAACAAAAGGCATTTGAGGCTTTAAAAACATTCCTGACTTCTACTCCAGTCCTAGAATTTCCAGACAAAGGGAGTTTTAACCAAAACTTTGGGGCCATGAAAATGCCCTACGGTGACTGGACTCTGTGCTGGCTGGTTTTGTGCATCAACTTGGCACAAGCTAGAATCATCAGAACCAAAGGAGCCTCAGTTGAGGAAATGCCTCCATGAGATCCAGCTGTAAGGTTTTTTTCAATTAGTGTTCAAAGGAGTAGGGTCTATCCCATGGTGGGTGGTGCCATCCCTGGGCTGGTGGTCCTGGGTCTTATAAAAACGCAGGCTGAGCAAGTCATGGAGAACGAGCCAGTAACCAGATGGCCTTTGCCTCAGCTTCTGCCTCCAGGATTTGGCCCTGTTTGAGTTCCTGTCCTGACTTCCTTTAATAATGAACAGCAATATGGAAGGGTAAGCCAAATAAACCCTTTTCTCCCCAACTGGCTTTATGGTGATGGTATTTCATTGCAGCAACAGAAACCCTAACTAAGACAGACCCTGTAAGGCACAGGACGGCCCACCTGTCTAAGAGCTATGATGGTAACTAATGGTTTAATGAACCCTCTGGCTTAATGACACAGGTGCTCATCCATGACTGTAAGGAGATGAAAGATGAAACCAGGTACATGGGAGCTGCATTCAGTACTTTAACCGAAATGATTTAGGCCCAAACCAGGAACCTCTTCCCAGAGAGCAGAAGTGATCCATCTGACCCAGGTTCTCATGTGCGTGTGGTAGTTTGAATGTAGCTGTTCCACGTTACTATTAGGAGGTGTGGCTTTGCTAGAGTGGATGTGGCCTTGTTAGAGGAAGTGTGTCACTGTGTGGGTGGGCTTTGAAGTCTCATATATGCTCAAACTGCATTGAGTTTTCAGACAACTTTCTGCTGCCTACAGGTCAAGATGTAAGAACTCTCTGCTCCTTCTCTAGCACCACGTCTGCCTGCACGTCACCATGCCCCACCATGATGACAATGGACTAAACCTCTGATCTATAAGCAAGCCACCCCAAATAAATGTTTTCCTTTATAAGAGTTTCCGTGGTCATGGTGTCTCTTCACAGCAATGGAAACCCTAAGACAGTTGCAGGGAAAGGAAAGTCCAACACCATATACACAGACCACCAACTAGCATACTTTTAGTACTGGGCATGTCCACGATTATAGAGCAAGAGGGCTTTTTACCTCTGGAAAAAAGGACATTAAAAAGCCTTGGCCCTCCTGGAGGCTATTAAACTTCCCATACATATTGCTGGCCTCCACTGCTGGGCTGCTGACCTGGCCTTTGACAAATGGCTCTAAGGCCAGTGGGCCCTGTTGACATTCTGATGACATGTGTCCTGGTACTACCTGAGAGTCCATGGTAAAGATGTCATGAACAGCTCAAATCCACAGGTTAATGGAGGACCCCAGAGAGAAAGATCATTCTCCCAGAAGCAACTGGCAGGAATGTTGGTAACTGACCTTCACCAGGCTACTCTGCTGGGGTCCACAAAACTTTCTGAGTTGCTCAGACCAAGGCATGTTAGACCTACACATGGAACAGCCTAACATGGGATGTCTCAGCCAGATGCCAGGTTTGTGCTCAAGTGAATCCAAAACAGAGAACCCTTACCCAGGAAAGGGTCCAAACGAGAGACCAACACCCCAGTGAACTCTGAGAAAAACTGACCTCACCAAGATCCGGCCCACTTCGGGAGGGTCCAGGTGGGTAAAAGTGTTCCCCACCTGAACTAAGACTGCTCAAACAGTGGTTACAAAGCTTCTCCAGGAACTGACTCCTTGATGAACCCTCCCCCTAGCAATGGGGTCCAACAATGCCTGGTTTTCATAGTCAAAACCTCTCAATTAATAGCCAAAGCTTTAAACATAAATTAAAAAACTTCATTGTGCCTATAGGCTTCAGAGTTCTGGCCACATTAAAAGGATAAACAGTGTATATATACATATATAAAACCTTTAACAAAACTCTGTTAGAGTCTATCAAAGGATAGATAGGCCTTGCTTGCTTTGCTCCGGCCCACTGTACCCCCTATAGGGAGGGATTTATCCCTTATGAGATTATATTTAGAAGACATCCTCCACTACTCCCCGGGCTGAGATGAATAGTTGGCAGAACTCTCTCCCCATTTACTTCCCGGGACCCCACAGGCTCTCCAGTCTTCCATAAAGGCGATTCCACTGGACTATTCTAGAGACCCTGCTGACCTCTGAGTCCACCAGCAGCTTCCCCCTTGTTCCAATTCAGTGACCCTGTCTGTGTAAGGCAGGGAGCCAAAGGGGCACTGAAACCAACTTGGAAAGAACTCTACATGGTCATTCTCTTCACTCCTAAGGCAGCAAAAATTGCTGGCATTACACCATGAATCCACCTCACCCAGGTCAAGAAAGAGAAAGCCACAGATGCTGTTGCCAAATGGACTATTTCCAGACTGTTAACCCATGGACATGAAGGCTTCATTGGGCCCCAGCCCCTTCCACTCCCTGCCCCTCTACCTCTTCCTCCTGAGACTTGGTGTAGTAATAGGAGTGGCGGGCTGCGTCCCGCCACCCGGCTAGCTTTATACCCGAAATAATTACACGTAAACTGTATTCTTTTAAACACTGCTTGGCCCATTAGTTTTAACCTCTTATTGGCTAGCTCTTACATATTGATCTAACCCATTTCTAATATTCTGTGTAGCACCACGAGCTGGCTTACCAGGAAAGATCTTAACCTGTGTCTGTCTGGAGTGGGAGAATCATGGCGACTGCCTGACTCGGCTTTCTTTCTCCCAGCATTCTGTTCTGTCTACTCCGCCTACCTAATTTTCTGTCCTATCAGGCCAAGCAGTTTTCTTTATTAGTTAACCAATGAAAGCAACAGATAAGATACAAGACCCACCTCCATACTTGGTTTTGGTATGAATACAGGGTTATGGTCCAACCCCCATGGCCCTCAGGCCCAGATTTGGGAACTGAGGGAGACAAATACAGGAAAGGTATTAGCTAGTGTGACTACAGACCAGCAACCCATCTTGATCTTTACTTAATGATACCTACTTTAAGTGTCTGGTTATATGGAGAAAAGAAAAGATAGGAGAATTTATCTTTTGAGATAGGAACACAGAGTTTACAATTCTATACCTTCCCTGTGACTGGGTCCCCTGGTTGCCAGAAAACAACTGTGTTTCCATTTCAAGAATTGGCTTTATGGCTGGGTGGTGGTGGCGCATGCCTTTAATCCCAGCACTCAGGAGGCAGAGGCAGGCGGATCTCTGTGAGTTCGAGACCAGCCTGGTCTACAAGAGCTAATTCCAGGACAGGGTCCAAAGATACAGAGAAACCTTGTCTCAAAAGACTAAAAAAAAAAAAAAAAGAAAGAAAGAAAGAAAGAAAGAAAGAAAGAAAGAAAAGAATTGGCATTATAAAACTAAGGCTTCCTAAAATATTCTTTTATAAGATTCTGGCCTTTGAGAAACTAGAAGAACCTGGGGAATCAGACTCTGTGCCACAGGAAGGGACCCTGGAGATAGAGAACAGCCAGGACTGCTGAGTATGCATAGACACTCAACCCCCATACCACACAGGATTAGGAACGAACCGGACTGTCAGGCTACTGACTGACAAAACTCAGTGTGACTGGGGGCAGCCCAAATTAACCTTAGGAGATTTCTAAGGGACTAAAACTTGTCTGATATCCAAAACCTTTAACCTAGACACTTCCTCTTATTCCGATGCCTGCCAGTCTGCCTTATGGGTTAATTCATATGGATGACAGCATCACTGGGCTACTTGGTGGGCATATACTAATGGTTTAGCTAAAAGTGCCTCTTCTTATGTTTTCCAAACTAAGTACATAGGTTGATCAGGACCTAGATGTATTAAAAGTTTCAGCTTCTAAGTTAAAACAACAGTTGATTCTCTTGCAGAAAATGGTCCTACAAAATTGGAGAGGCTTAGATTTCTCATGAGATAAAGAATGCTATGGCCAGGTGGTGGTGGCTCACGCCTTTAATCCCAGCACTCACCAGGCAGAGAGAGGTGGATTCAGTGAGTTCCAGGCCAGCCAGAACTGTTACATAAAGAAACCCTGTCCCAAAAAACAAACTAACTAACTAACAAAAGAATACTATGTATGGCTTTGGGGGAAAGATCTGTTGTTTCTATGCTAAATGATCGGAAGTCATTAGAGAAAAGCTTGCCATGGTTGGGGAAATATTTGGTACCAGTCTCTTGGTCCTCTTGGATAACTACTCTTTTATCAGCAGTGGCTGGGCCTTTAATTCCTATTCAGACTGGATTAACAGTGAGGCCCTGCACCTTAAACCAAAACAGGAAGAGTCCATGATTTGACTCGTTCCCTAAGACCAGTGGGAAATGTAACAGGGCCACAGATGGTCTTAGGTCCAGACCTTAGCACAATTGACTCGACTGAAATACCGTTCAGGCTGGCACATACACAGCACCACCCTCCAAAACTAAAACAAAGGCCTAATCCATCAACGTCCATAGTTCTGGGAAGGTCTCAAAATGTACTAAACTTGCTTTTTCGCTTTGATGGTTCCACTTCCGGCTAACTGTTCTTGTTAACTGAAGTATATCAATCCACAACATGGTTTTTGTGCTTCCCTGGGATCCTAAACACCCAGTGTGGTATTGGCTTAATCCCATATCCCATATCGGAGCAGCCTTCTCCGGTTCATACTCCACCACAACGGGAGGTGACGAGAAGGGTAACGAACAATTGTCTTGTTTGTGTTTGTGTTGACGAATGTGTCTTCAAAGACCAGAATGAGGGACAGTGTAGGGATTCTATGTGAAAGATGTGTTTGATGAATATTCTAATGTTTCATGTGTGTGGATACGTGTGTGACCGCATGTACACACCTGTGCACATGTGTGAGCAGGCCAGAAGAGGACACTGGATGTCCTGCTCTGTCACTTTTTACCTTATTTCCTTGAGACAGGGACTCTCACTGAACCTGTTCGAGCTAGGCTGGCCAGCCACCAAACTCCCAGGAGTGACCATCTCCCAATGCTGAAGTTACAAACACACACACAGTCATACCTGGCTTTTTTTTTTTAATGGGTGCTGGGGATCCAAACTAGGGCCCTTATTCTTATGCAGCAAGCACTTCTACTCACTGAACCATCTCTCCAGCCTGGAATTCATTTTTAACCCCTTAAACCTCATGGAGTAGAGTCGGGATGTATGAGGAGTCAGGTGTTCCCTGGTGTTAGAAGTTGGCAAGTACAGGTTCAGGAACTCTCTACTGGTTTGCTTCCTAATGTTATGATAAACATCACGGACAAAAGCCTCTTGGGATGAGAAGAGTTTATTTGGCTTACACATCCTGATCACAGTCAGTTAAGGGAAGCCAAGGTAGGAGCCCAGAGGCAGGAGCTAAAGCAGAGGCCATGGAGGAATGCTGCTTCCTGGCTTGCTCTCGTGGCTTTCTCGGTCTGTTTTTTTTTTTCATATAACCCAGGACCACTTTTCTGGGGGTGGCATTGCCCACAGTGGGCTAGGCCCTCTAACATAATCATTAATCAAGAAATTTCCCCAGCAATGGGAACATGGCTTAAATATTAAGGGCACTGGACAGTCATGAGAACACACCTCCCCACATGGTCTGTGGTCCAGTCACGAGAACACACCTCCCCATATG